TTTCATTCGGGCATTTATTTATTTTTTGCTTCTCTCGTCGTTTTTTTTTTTTTTTTTTTTGGTGAGTGTTGTGACCAGGAGTCTGAATGGGGGTTACGGAGAGTTTGTGATTAGGTTTACATTGTAGCATGAATCCGAGGCACGGGTTTGACATCGGCTCTGGTAGTTAGTGTAGCGTCAACAAAGAAATGAAATCATTGGAAAAACAGCCACTGTACGTGACTTGATGGAATCGACAAGGGCAAGAAAAGGACAAAGATTGAGAACAAAAAAAAAAATCAAGAGGAAAGATAGTAAGAATAGTTTATATTTACTTAACTTCCCACATATGTACAGACGTGTCTTCACATAATAAATAACACTGAGGGTACCCGTGACCAATTCAGAATTTCTTTTTTATTTTAACTTTCTGATGTATTATAATTCATGAGTTAATGATTGAATAAACGATTTTAATGGCTACGAAATGGCCATTGGAAGGGTCGTATTGCATTGTTCAATATCTGTGCTAAATAACTTTAATAAAATATTGCAATAATAATAAGTATGAATACATGTGATTTTTAAAAAAATAATAAGTGGGTATAAACCCGTTTTCCTAAAATTGGGCGTACGCACAACAGGGAGGGGGATTTTTTGAGTGTAATTTTATACATAAGATGCATATACAGTATTCATACATAAATATATTTGTGCGTATGTATGAACATATGCATGTACTGTATATAATGTAAGGCAGCACTAGCTGTTGCATAGTTAGTTGGGCAATCAGCGACTAAACCGGTTCTCTTACCAGGTAGACCTGGTGAAGAGGGTGGCTAGAAACCCCGCAGAACAAAAACAAGACCTGTCAAAGGGCGGTTGATCCTCTTTGAGAGGTCAATGGCCATCTGGCTATCTCTGCGTGAGGGCATAGACATATTTTGGCTGGTATCCAGACGCTCGGTTAGCCCACTGGGGGTGGCACCTCCCTGGTAGTCTCCTAGAAGAAGAAAACTCGTATAGAAAACCTGCCTCTTGGAATTTGCTTGTCTCTGGACAATGTGGTTTTGTTGTGAGGGTCGATGCAGTACTGTGCAAGCTGCTTCCGACCTTAAAACCAGCACTGGCATTACTGGAAATTGTATATAATATATATACAAATAAATAGAAAGGACAGTCAGATTTAAAATACACATTTCTTTAGCATTTATTAAAAAAGATGCTCGTTGAGCATATATATATATATATATATATATATATATATATACGCTGTACGTTGTATCAAGTACTTTAAAAAAAAATAAATGCACATTTTTTTAGCATTTATTTTTTTTTTAAGTGCTCGATACAACGTAGAGCATATATATATATATAACAATTTCTTTCTGTCCTTTTCTTCTTTTATTTTTCTCTTTGTTGGATGCAATATTATTTGGAAGCCTGTTTAGACCAAGTTAATGGCATTCTAGGCCTCTTCCATAAGAATAGGAGTTCTCTTTTTGAATAAGAATAATCATGTGTCACACAGGTGGAGCATCGGAATTTTAGAGATTCCCAGGTGAAGGTCTGGCACCAAAAAAGGTTTAGAACCACTGGTGTAAATAAACCGATTTGAAATTGATAAGTTTTTAATTTCACAGAAGCAGACGTTGAACACAAGATAGCTTATCTTATATATTTCTCTTTTCATTTCTTTCTCGAACTGTAACGAAATAGCGTTTTTGAGATGTCCTTTTCGTCTCCTCTCGCGAACAAAACGGAATAATCCATTATTTATGAGTTATTGGCATGGCGTAACCTATGTGCTAAAGAACAACTAGAATTAAAATGTACATATCAACGCGTATTCGTAGCCATTAAAATTGCTTATTCAGTCACTAACTTAAGAATTAGGATACACCACACACTTTAAATAAAAAAAAATCTGAATGGGTCACTTTTAAGCTAAATAATATACAGTTTAAGTTGGTGGGGGAATGAGATTACAGAATTTTAAAAAAATGTGTTCTAATATAGGACGGAAAATGCGACACTGAAATCCAAAGACGCATTGGAACAAGCGAAAGATGCCTTCCAAAAGCTAAGCAAAGTATTAAGAAACATAAAAATTTCGTTAGAAACATCAGAAAAAGGGTACTGAACTGTTACGTAATATCCTTCATTCTATATGGGAGTGAATGATAGACAATATTCTCACACATGACGAAGACACTTGAAGCAACAGAAACGTGATTCTACAGAAGGATACTGAGAATACCGTGGACCAACGGCGTAGTTTTAGAGAAAATGATGAAAAAGAACAGTTTTACTTAACATCAGAAAGAGACAAATGAAATTTCTTGGGTACATAATGAGGAAACAGGGCTTGGAAAATCTGATACTCACATGACATATTGAAAGCAAGAGAAATAGAGAAAAACAATATGTATCCTACCTAGTAAACCTGTGTAAATGAATGGCAGAACAGGATTTAGAAGAAATGACAAAAAGATAGTATTTATTAAGAGCGACAAAGGACAGGAAATTGTGGAGAGCTTGATTTCCAACGTACTGAAGGGACCTGGCACATGCAAGAAGATACATCTTATGGTGCTGAGCAAAACTACCCTTAGTGCATCCTCTTCTAAGTTCAATTTCCTTATCTCCTATAGTAAATTTGTTTCAAACTGATCCATACACCGAGCTATTTTAAGTGTTTATTTTCAGTGCGCGTTGCTATCGAATGTGGCACAAGGTGAAGGTTTAAAGTGGGTTGAACGGCAATACTCTGAAAAATCGCCCAGTGGTGATTTTTTAAGCATAGCTTAGAAGTTTCACAAGGTGGTGCATTCCGTGAGTATCGAACTCACTACTAGGTCTTAATTGTTCTAACGAGGCAAGCTTGCTAACCATTACACTACATCGATGATACCCTCATGGTAATTTTCTAAGGACGAAAGTATGAGGCTCTTAATGAGGATCGAACTTACTATTCAGTGGTAATTTATCTAGCGAGATAAGCATGCTAACCATTACACCATGTCGAAGTGCCCTCGAGGTATTTGAAGTGTTTAGTATTTGAAGTGTTTAGTATTATCGTGATTTTTATGATGGGTTCAGTATAGGTGACATCACTATTTTCCTTTCAATTTCCGATTACACTGGTCAACAAAAGAAAATTTTTAAAATGATGTTGAGACATTAAACATATTTAGTTAATTTGAAAATTACCTTACTTTTTCTTTCTTATCTACCGTTTGTGTTGTATTGAAATGCCTCAATTTGGGAAAAAAGAAGCATTTTTTTCATTTGTTTTCTTTATATACGATATTGACCGATGGCAATAAAATCGTAGAAACCTCTCAATTCGTATTTAAACCAACAAATATTGGTCTTCTTATTGAGAAATGCTATTTTTGCAATAACAATCAAACCTTTCTTTAAAAATAACCCACTTGAGTATACCAAGATCAACAAGTATTTTCATCAAATCATTTATTAAACAGCAGGAAAAAAACCTACGTGAACATCAAAACTATAGTAAAAACTTCTCTTTCTTGATTGCCTGTCATGTTTCAATGCAATTTAAGTCCCTTTTGAAATTCCAGCAGTATCATGTACAATGGAATAGGTGCATCCAATTCAGTCTTTAGTTGCAGTTTCTTTCCAACTGAAAACAAAATGCTCTCAACGTGCTTGAACTCCTTCCATCGTGAAGGGATAAAAGTGATGGGATGAATTTATGACTGTCAGACAGAAGATTTAAGGGTTTCATTTTTATCAGATTTTCTAAAGTGTATTACTTATAAATTTTATCAGTTAATTTGAATTATGGCGATAAATTGAAAAACTTCGGTACATCTATTTTAAAATTTTTGACTCAAAAACACTTTTTTTTCTGATGACTGACAATAATTGTTCGGCCTAACTGAAAACTACGACATTTCTACGACCGTTATTAACTAAATGTTGTGATAAGCCAAGATGGTAAATTGATCTTTTTTTCCAAAAATGAGCAATTTCATTACAGCAAAAACGGTAGCTAACCATGAAAAACTAAGGTCATTTTCAGAGTCAGTACCATGAAATCAGTTAAAAAAAATATGTTTTGTTTCTTGGCACCAAAAATCGTGTTGACCGTTGTTATTGTTTCTATTTCGGAAAGGTTTATCGTGAGCTTTGCTTCTTGGAACACTTGGTAAAGGATTAGTGTGCAGACAACTTGCATCACAGATCAGTTCGCTTATATAATGAATCCCATACTCACTAGATACTCTTCTTCTATCTGAGACTAGTATATTAAAGACACACTAGGCTGAGATAAAGTCTTTAGTCTGAATATATGCGATGAGGAGTTTATATTTATTTCTTCTGATTCTTCTATATGCGGTGTCCTTGCAGGGTGTGGGAAATCATAGCTCTCCATAACTTTTCTTTGTCTGTGATTCTGTGAAAATTTATTGTACTAAGCTACGTACCTTACAAAGACCAACTGTACGTTGTACTTCTTATCTGTTTGCATTTCTCTCCAAAATTTGGTTTAGATCAGTCAATGTATGGCTATTTTAGAGGTTGCTACACCCTCTAAAATACCGATATACTGACCGGGGTGGACGGACGGACAAAAGAAACTCACAGAGTTTTATATATAGATGATGCTGACTTTTTGTACAACAATATTTTGATATGAACTGTGAACAATAAACCATAGATTTTTTGATCTACTTATAGAATGTAGAAAATCGAGTTGTGGTTTAGACAAGATTAGAAAGATATGAAGATGAAAAAAATGACGGGCAGAAACATTGCTTTAAAAATAGCACTTGAACATGCAAAGATAGAATGTTATGATAAAAATAAGTCCAGATACAAAATGGCAAGAGTTAAAAGCCACCATGTGAAAATGTTTGACGTACATTAAGGTTATCTACAGGAAAAAAAAATTCAGGATGTTAAGAGAACTGCATTAAAAACGGACAGACATGTTTAATCTAATGGAGAGTTTAAATTAATGAAATATAGTCAAAGAGTGGTTTTACAGAAAACTATAACGAATCAAAGGAGAATGATAGGAAGAAGGTGTGTATGTGGGGGGAATAGGGGATACAATTTTAAATAGAGAAAGATTAGAAACTGTAAGGTGGGAGGTTTTAAGGGTAGAAATCGACAGGAAAATCGGAAATCGAGAGTAGAGAGAGGATCGCTTCAGAGATGAAGGGATGAAAGCTGTAGAAAAGAAAGAAGCCATTTGGAAAGAAGAAGAAGGAGTAGAAGAAAAAAAAGGAACATAATGAATTAAAGAGAGATAAAAAGAAACGAGAAAGAAAGACTAAAAAGAAGAAGAAGAGGAGGAAGAAGAAGAAGAAGAAGAAGAGAAAAATTACAGAAAATAAATTAAAGAGGGAAAAAAGAAACCAGACAGAAAAAGACTAAGAAGAAGAAGAAAAAAATGGTGAAGAAAAAAGAAATTAAAGGGAGATAAACAAAATCAGAGAGAAAAAGAGAGACAAAGAAAAAGACGAAGAAGTGAATAAACTTGAAGAAGAAGAAGAAGAAGAAGAAGAAGAAGAAGAAGAAGAAGAAGAAGAAGAAGAAGAAGAAGAAATTTGGAAACAAAGAAAGAAAAAAAAGAAGAAATGAAATAAAGATAACGTGTAGGATTAAAGAATCTGTTAAACAAAAAATAAACAAAAGAAAGAGATGAAAAAATGTGAAGGATGAATAAATCTTTTAATCAAAAAAGAAAAAAGAAAGAAATGAAGGAAATGAAAAAGAAAAAAAAACGTCTAGGATGAAAGAATTTATTAATAAAAAAACGAAGAAAAATGAAGGAAAACGTGTAGGTTGAAAGAATCTGCAAATTAAAAAGGAAAGAACAAAGAAAAAGAAAACTTGGAATGAATCTGTTAATCAAAATAGAAAGAAAGAAAGAAAGAAAGAAAGAAAGAAAAAAGAAAGAAAGAAAGAAGTCAAGGATGAATGAATCTTTTAATAAAAAATGAAAGAAAAAATGAGATGAAAATAGAAAAGAAGAAATAAAGAAAGAAAATGTTTAGAATGAAAGAATCCGATAATCGAAAAAGAAAGAGATCAAAGAAAGAAAAAAATATGTAGAATAAATAAATCTGTTAATCAAAATGAAAAGAGAGAAAGAAAGAGACGAAGAAAGAAAAAACGTGGTCGATGAATGAATCCGCAAATAAAAAAAGAAACAAACAAAAGAAAGAAAGAAAGAATGAATGAATGAATGAATGAAAGAAAGAAAGAAAGAAAGAAAACGTTTATGATGAATGAATTCGAAAAAAATGAGAAGGATGAATGAATCTGTTAATCAAAAAAGAAAGAAACGAAAGAAAGAAAGAGATGAAAGAATGAAATAAAACGTCTAGGATCAAAGAATTTGTTCATAAAAAAGAAAGAAAAATTTAGGATCAAAGAATGTGACAATCAAAAATGAAAGTACAAAGAAAGAAAGATACGTATAGGATGAATGAACCTGTTAATAAAAAAAAAAAACAAAAAAAAAAGAAAAAGAAAAAAAAAGAGACGAAAGAAAGAAAAAAAGGATGAAAGAAAGAAATTAATAAGGAAAAAAATAAACGACTGCGATGAAAGAAACTGCTAACCGAAAAAGAAAGAAAGAACGATAGAAAGAAAGAAAACGTGTATGGTCAATAAATCGGCTAATCCAAAAAGAAAGAAAAAAGAAAGAAAAGCTCTACAATGAATGAATCTATTAATTGAAAAATAAATAAATAAAGTAAACGTATAGGATGAAAGAAAAAAGAAAGAGATGAAAGAATGAAATAAAATGTCGAAGATCAAAGAATTTGTTAATAAAATAGAAAGAAAGAAAACGTGTAAGGAAGAAAAAGATAAAAGAAAAACTGATGAAAGAGAGAAAATGTCTAGGATGAAGGAATCTGTTAATCCAAAAAGAAAGAAAAAGAAAGAGACAGAAAGAAAGTAAACGTTTAGGATAGATGCGTCTGTTTATGAAAAATGAAAGAAAGAAAGAAACGAAAGAAAGGAAGTAAACGTGTAGGATGAATGAATCTGTTAATAAAAAAAAGAAAAACAAAAGAAAAACGAGAGAAAGAGATAAAAGAAAGAAAGAAAGAAAGAAAGAAAGAAACGTGTAGGATGAAAGAATCTGTCATTAAAAAAAGAAAGAAAATTTATGTCTGAAAAACAACACAAAACGAAACAGCAAAAAAAAAAAAAAACATCAGCTAAGGACAAAATCTGGCTTAAAACAAAAACCAACAAAAAAACACCACCCCCACCACAAAAACGATCAAAATAATGACTACAAAACAGCGACGCCAAAGTTTATCAGATAATACAAACGTTTTTGCTATTTGATTGTTTCAACGTTGTACAAAGGCACACGCGTAGAATTCATTAACAAATATCGTCCCAATAAACTCGTCAATTTCTTCTTTGACAAATCAACATGATTACTTCTTCCTGCGTCACTAAAGACAATTAAAAGAATCCTTTTATCGCCATATAGCGGATGACACGCCAGCCACTTTACTGTTTTAAAAATATCAAGTAAACAGTAAAAAATGTATTCGTTAAGTGACTTATACGCCAGCCGATGAAATTATTAGTTATCGACTGAAACATTTGCAATGAGTTCCGATCTCACGATAGAGAAAATGAATAAAGATTTTTCTTCTCTTTAGATAGGTAGAAGCCAATGAAAAAAAAAATGGTGCCATTATCGAACAGAGTTTCCGCCATTTTTAATTTTAGTTTAGTTTTTTTTTCCATCGATTTGCTGATTTTGTTGTAACGCCCGTCTCTTTTAACATTCTACAAACGTTAAGTAAGCAATATGGATAGCAAAATAAAGGCTTGAACTTTAATTATTTGTACTAAATACACGTAGTATAAGGCTGAAGAGGCACTCAAGATAGAAGCCTATGGCAATGATTAATGAAAGGTGTGTGATATGAGTGAGTGAGAATGTAGTCGGAAGTGAAGATGAGGAAAATAAGGAGGATAGATAAAGATTGCCTATTGACTTAAAAATGCTAAGATTCTAGTGTTCAGCGAAGTACACAGGTCGGAGTTTGTTCCGCAAAGTGGCGGTTTTTAGGAAAAAGTGGAGATTACTATTTGCATTGGGAATACGGGAAAATGAGGGTTATTTGACTCCGTGTATGTAGCTGTAAATGTCTCACCTGATGGAACTAAAGAATGCATAGCGATAGACTAGTGATGGGATTGCAATATTGTGTCTGTGGGAAAGAAGCTGAAGAGTGCAGAATAAGCCTTCCCTCACAGGACTGTGTAAATGTCCGAGCTGTAAAGGTCTGAACTAGTGGAACTAAAGAATGAAGTTCATCTGAACATTTGCCATGGAAATAGCGATAGAGTAATGATGAGCTTGCAATGTTGAGTCTATGAAAAAGAAGCTGCAGAGTCGAGAATAAGCCTTCCTTCACAGGACTGTGTAAATGTCCGAGCTGTAAAGACCTGAACTGGTGGAACTAAAGAATGGAGCTCATCTGAACATTTGCCATGGAAATAGCGATAGAGTAGTGATGGGCTTGCAATGTTGAGTCTGTGCGAAAGAAGCTGCAGAGTGGAGAATAAGCCTTCCCTTTCAGGACTGTGTAAATATCCGAGCTGTAAAGGTCTGAACTGGTGGAACTAAAAAACAGAGATCGTCTGGACATTTGCCATGGAAATAGCGATAGAGTAGTGATGGGCTTGCAATGTTGAGTCTATTGGAAAGAAGCTACAAGGCGGCGAATAAGTCTTCCTCCAAAGGTCGTGTAAACAATTCCGTCAATGCTGTTGATTGAATAAAGGCATCGGTTTTAGGCCATGGAAACGTTGAAACACCCATTTTCGTCTGATCACCGACGTTAAGTAACCAGATAGATGATCACTAAGGAATACCTCGGTCTACAAAACTACACGACAGGCCAAGCAAGCCGGCAATTGGACACAATCTCGATACTCATACGAACAGAAGACCTTGAAGTGTGGGGGTACTTCTGATTTTACAGATCTCAAGTCCTACCTTGAGTTGGGTAAGTGTGATGGAGTTCAAGACTGTAAGAACGTTACCAAGTACGAAGACAGGCAAATGAGCAAGGATGGAGAGTAGAGTGGCTGACACTTTGCTGGTTTGTATAGCAAAATATAATCTGTCTTATATATGGCCGCCATTCGTCATTGCTTAGAATATTGCTGCCACAAGACCACGTGATCCTACTGTATATTTAGAGTTCCTTGTTAAAATCCAAAGAATCAGCAATATTATTGTAATTCTACAGATGAATTCTTCGCTATGGTACCAAGACTTTCAGCATTTAAGTGCAGTACTAGATTGGCGGTAAGATCTTATCATTTTACATTTGAATTAGCTAGATGTAACCATAAGATCTATGCTAACAGTTTCTTCTCTCGCAGTTCTCGCTTGTGGAACACTTTTCCGACTCCATGCATTGCAGCTAATTTTGATGTTCAAAAATTGAATGCAATGTCAATCGTTATTTACTGGCTTCTTGATTACTCTTCCATTGTTCTCGCTACTTAGTAAGGTTTCTCTTTTTTTTCTTATTCTTTCACACTAAGTAACCCCTTATGTCTTAAAGGCTTTACTTTCCTGCATGGGTGAAATAATTTAAAAAAAACAATAATTAAACTTCCCATAAAATTAACTTAATTAAAGTACTGTTTCTTAATGTTTTCATTGAAGCACGAATATATTTTAAAATAATTTCCATTCATACGTCAAAATAGAAGAGAAATACAAAGAACAAAACAAAACAAGAACGCAATTATGGCGGACTTTCTTTTTTCGAGAAATTGTCGATATCCCATCATACACTTCTCTATGTGGCGTCCATACACATCACTATATTCGAAATATTGTTTTCGGAAGAGTCGGTCTTAAAAAGATATTACTTCTTACGTACAAAAGGAACCTGGGTCGTTAAAAGTAGCAAGTATTTGCCTTTAGTGTTTGCAGATCGTGAACTTGCCGATGCAGATGAAAACAATTTTGGAGAAATAGCATTTCGTTACGGGTCTTATACAAGAGGCGAAAAAAGGAAAGCGAAGATGCCCTTTTCACACCTCATTAATTCTTCCTCTATGTCTGTTGATTATCTATCTTAATCTTTTCTTATCTATCTATCTTTTCTTATCTGTCTGTCTATCTATATTTTCTTATCTATCTTTTCTTATCTATCTACATTTTCTTATCTGTCTATATTTATTATCTATCTTTTCTTATCTATCTATCTTGTTTTATCTATCTTTTCTTATTTATCTATTTATCTTTTCTTATCTATCTATTCATATCTTTCAATCTCATAAAATCCAATTCTGTTAAAATATTCTGTTTCTTTAAAACTAGGGAAAATAGTTCAACGTGCAGACTAAGAATTCGAACGATAAACGTTCCTTCGTTAATAGGTAATTTGAACTTTGTTCTGTCAGGCTGACTCTGTAGGCGAACTGGTAGAGGCATACATTGTTTGAAAATGTTTTCTTTTATGAAAAAAAAAAGATGTAATTTCTATTCTTTGTTCTTTCGTCGGACTTTTCATTATAGACGAGTTTTATTAATTTCACTGTTTAATGATAAAAAATGAGAACAGTAACTCAAACACGCGTACACACTAAAAGTTATATATATATATATATATATATATATATATATATATATATATATATATACTAGCTTAATGGTTGCGCTATCGGGTGGCATTTAAGTTAGTTTCTGCGGATGGATCTTGATCACAATAAGTTGGGAGGAGTAGATGCGATAAGCAACAATAGACTACAGAAGAACGCAAAATTGTTCGCTGCATTTAAGTATTGCATTAATATTTAAGCTTACCTTTTAAAAGTTCAACTATAATTTTTCTGTCGCCACTTAATTTAAAGACAATTTGATGTGCGTAGGTATTTACTTTCCGTTCAAACGATTATTTTTATTTTATCGTGATTTTCGCTGGATTTCGCAGTTAATTTCGATGATTTCCAAATTTATTTGCCAAGTTATAAAAAAAATTTATCGTACAAAAAACTCGCCACAAAAAATCGTCGAAAACAATCGCAGTAATGAAACCTTGAGAATCCAAAATTTCCGGATTGCGGGTCCAGATCCAGCCCAGAATGTTTTTAATTTGCTCACGGAGTCGGACTAATTCCAAAATGGTATAATATGTTGAGCTACGGCCTCTAGGAGTAAAGTTGAAAAAGTGTGACACACTGACATTCGCATTTATTACATTATATATATATATATATATATATATATATATATATATATATATATATATATAGATATATAGATAGATAGATAGATGTTGCTTACTCGAGTCGGGTTTTTTTTGGCCTTCAAACCTGTATCTGTGCGATCTTTCGACAGACTTTCATGTTCCTGGCTCTTTCTTTTTTTTCCCTTCGAGATTGATTTGATTATTGGCAAATCAAAAATTCGAAGGTTTTTCGAAACGAGTATAGTTATCTATCTATCTATCTATATATATATTCATTTGTATGGATATAAGTTTGTAACCTTGGCTTTCTGATGATCGCAAAAGCGTGGAATCCAGTGTTACAAACTAATATCCATACAATTGAATATGTTAGCTCTGTCACAGATATTGAGCACTCTTCACTAATTAAAGCGCATATAATATATATATATATATATATATATATATATATATATATATATATTCAGGCATATTTCCTTGAATAATATAGACATATTTATTTTTTATTTTATTCCCTTATAGTTCTCTAAATATCTTATTGATGTTAAGTTGAATTCATCAAGGATGGCGTTGTAGTTATTTGAAGCTAAGTACTTTCGATCTCCTCCAAGTCAGGAATGAAATTCGAAGACAGACTTAATGTAACTGTGATCTTTTAAAATAAAAATAAAAATCGCCATCACAACGATTACAGTGACATTAAGTTTGTCTCCGCAATTCACCTGTTAAGGTGATCTCGGATGAGATCGAAAGTTCTTGGCTTAACAAAACGACATCGACTTCCTTGATGAATTTCACCTTAACATCAAGAAGATAATTAGAGAACTCCAAAGGATTATTATAAAAATAAATAGACATATGTTTATATTACTCAATGAAACAAACTTGAATAAAGATAGGATGCCTAAGTATATATATATATATATGTATATGTAATAAACCGCCCCGTCGTTTGATGTGTATGAGTGTCCAGCAGTGTTTTCATTACTTTTTCTAACTTCATTTATCTTATTTTTTTCCGTCATTTATTTCAGGATTTATTTATTTACTTATTAACATTTTTCTTCTCTTAGCCGTGTTTTACTTTGTTCTTTCTTTCAAATTTCTTTTCAGCCTTCATTTATATTATCTCACTCACATTTTCCCCTTTTGTTTCAAGATCATTTCTTTTCTACCTTGCTTATTTTACTTTCTTTTTCTTTATATATTCTCTCGTTCTTTCTTTTATTTTTCCATTTTTGATTTTGAATGATTATGTTCCTTTTGTTTTCTAGGTTGATGTCTTTTTCTTTTCTTTTTTTTTTCTTTTCTAGCCTCGCTTATTTTTCTTTCACTTTTTAGTCTTTACATTCGCTTATTTTTCTTTCATTCTCTCTTTTTCTTTTGTACATTCGCTTATTTTTCTTTCTTTTATTCTCTCTTTCTTTATTTCTTTGTTTCGTTCACTTTTCTGTTTTTATTGCTCCTTTTCGTTTTCTAACTTGACGACTTTTCTTTCTCTTTCTTTGTTTTTTCTTTCTTTTACTTTCTTTTCTAACTTCGCTTGACTTTCTTTCTTTCTTTTTTTCTTCTTCCGCTCTCTCATTTTGTTTCTTCTAAATTCTTGTTTTTCTTCTTTGTTTTTTCTCTTTTGATTCTGTTTCTGTTTTTTTTAAACGGATGTCTTTTCTTGCTTTCTTTTTAGTCTTTCTTTTTATGTAAATTCACTTAATTTTCTTTCTTTTATTGCCATTTCCTTCCTTCCTTCCTTCCTTTCGTTTACTTTTCCGTTTTTATTGTTTCTTTTCGTTTTCTAACTTGATGACTTTTTGTTGTTCTTTCTTTCTTTTCCCGCGTCTTTCTAATTTCTTTTTCCCCCACCAAATGCTTCTTTCCATTTTCTCTCTTCTTCCTGATGACATACGTTTCTTTATCAGCCATTGTAATTTATTCTCACCGCTTTTAACTGACACCAACAGGATGAGAAGGAAACAATTATTTAGAAAGAGAGAGAGAGAAAAAATGAACGAACAGACGAACGAACGAGCCAAAACAAAAAGATGACAACTACATTCCTTGCCCCCCCTTACTGCTGCAACCTACATGATTAAATCAAAACACTGAGGCTTGGGGTGTTTTCGTCAGAAAACAGATGAGAACCTGGCACACGGCCCAATATCGCCTCTTCCGTTCATTTTGACAAATACAAATGCACACAAGCACGCCGCCATTGATCGTGTTGTGTTTAGGAGCCACTTAAAAGAAAATGGCGCGCGAGAGCCCGAAAGATCGGCTAGTGGCGGGAAAGGAGGAGAAAAACAGCGGGAAAAAAAGAGGGCAAAATAAGGTTTCGGTTAAAGGATACCATGTCAAGTTAGGGTGGCCATGGTTACGTGTAGACATGATAGTAAAATCGTACGTGGGTATGAATATGTCTCTAGGGTGTAAATGTGTGTGTGTGTGTTCGGGCATGAGTAAGTGTGTGCGTGTGAAATGGTACGGTGTGTGATATATATATATATATGAAATGTATTCGTACATGTTGGAGTGCGTGAGTGTTTGAAAATATATGTGAGCGTAGGGTATTTTTTTACAGTAGGGTTCACCCTGTACTAGGCCCGGAAGCCACTCGATGAAGAGCGTTAAGGGGTAGTTTATATGAAAAAGAGGGGAAGATATCGGTTGATAAGGATTGACTAGAGACTTCAACAGGTTACTTCTCGTCGATAGATTGTGTGTGGTTTGCCCCTATGTAGGTGTTTATCAGGTTAAGATTATAATGATTAGGGAAACATCCTCTTGAGAGTTTGTTCCACAGACTAGATGCTGCTTGAGTGGAACTTACTTCTCACTTTGTACGTCCTTAAAGCAACCACATTTAGCAGCTACCTTGAATGGCTCTTGAGCCTTATATTCAGGGATTAATAGTAATAGTGGCCGAGTGGTTACAATGTTCGCATTTTGACCATGAGACCTGGGTTAGAATCTCATCATGGTCAATTTGTCAGGAAGCAGACTGCCTGATGTTATCGGGCTTGAGGGGTCGGTCTCAGCGTGAGGCATATTTGGAAAGTGCCTCAAAACCATACCACAGGTTGACCCAAGCATTGTGAGTGAAATTGGGTAGAAGAAACTCTTGGGAGCTGTCGATAGCTGTGCTAGCACGAAGTCACAAGTCATCGTGGCCGAGAGCTTGAGCGTGCTGGTCTTGTTCAAATTGTTGAACATGCTAGATAACATGCTCTTTCCCAGAAAATGTAACTGTCTGCTCAGCATAGTTGCAGTATAAACTACAGGTGGGCTCTGTAGGTGTTGAATAAACACAAATGCGCCTGAGCAAGCGTCTGCAACAGGGATTGGCTAACCGCCCTAGTTGACGGGTGTCCTCGAATACAAGTGGCCAGCTATATGTACAATAGTAAAACAAAATGCGCCAGTCTGCCAATATACTTCCTGCAATCTTCTTATCTTGTGTTGAAACGGTTCTGTGATCTTTACAGCTGCTGCGAGGTTTGAGCAACCAGTCTACATACAATTTTGCATGAAGCTCGGCAAATGTACACCCGTTGATCTTGAACTGTCTGGTTGTGATTTTAGCGACACTGTTTAGATCGAATGCAGGATTTTATGTGGTAAGCACGTACGAAGGCTGATCACGAAAAAACAAAACAAAAAACTAGACAATCTGGAAATAATTTAAGGACCTATCGATGGGGACCATCACCGAACAATCCATGATGAGAATTAGTTATAAAATAGACCAGGAGATCCAAGACAAGGGAATTTCTGATACTATCTCAGATATTTAGTTATTTTTTGAACCCAGTGAGGATCAAGCAGACTACACAACAATGATGGCCAATTTGGTAAACTGTTACGCGGTGTTCTGTGTATATTACAGGCGCCAGATTTAATTGAAAGAAAGGAAGAAAGAAAAGAGAGGGGAAAAAGAAAGACTATAGTAAGAAGAAAAAAAGAGAAAGAACAAATAAAAGAACGATGAAAGAAAGATATGATGAATGAATGAATGAATGAATGTTGAAATAAAGAAAAAAGAAAAATGAAAAAAGAAAGACTACAGTAAAAGCAAAAATGGAATGAAAAATAGAATGTAGAAAGAAATAAAGAATGAAAACAGAGGGACAAGAAAAAAGAAAGAAAGAATATAAAAAGAACAATTAGGATAACAAATAAAAGAAAGAAAAAAGACGAATGTAGGATTTGAGCTGAGACAGGTAGATAGCGAAAAAGAAATAAAGAACGAAAGAAAGATAAAGAAAGAAAGAATAAATGATTTGTCTGAGAAAGAAAGATAGAAAGAAAGAATGAATGCAGGGTTTTAACTGAGACAGAAAGACTTGATAGATAGATAACCTCATGACATAAAAAAAAAACAGACGCTGTTTTATATTCCTATAATTCTCATGTTATCAGAGCACAAAACTTGGAGAAGGCAAAAACATGACCATAAAAAAACCCACAATAAATAAATGTGTTTCGTTTTTCTTGCTTTTCGATTCGTTCTTAGATTGTAGGGGTTTCTGCAAAGAAATCTTTTATAATTCGGCATGCCATTTTCATCTAAAGAGCGGTTACGATCCTTGTTGCCTCTCCTCAACTAGCCAAACAACCGATCAATGAACACACTGTGTTTAACAATCTGATGGACAGTTTCACTGTTTTATAATGAGATGCTGTTGCCTTTAAAAGTCACGTTACTCAGTGTAGGAAACGAATGTGCTGGATGTTTTATGGCACGAGTACGCATGCGCCTGTTTTTACGCCTTTCCTTAGTCTGTGCAGGGGAAGATATTCGTGAACTTATAAGCTAGGATGCAAGTGTATTTTAATCGCTTTATGCATATACGAGAGTTATATATCAAGTACTTGAGTATATTTTGGGCTTAAAGTACCTGAGGGTTCTTTCTGAGATTACATAGGGATGAATACAAAGGTGAGATTGCCCCCAACAGTTGTAAACCCAGCCGAACAAAAGTGTTCCAGTTGTCCCTCGTTTGGTCGAGAGTTATTGCTTTTAATTTAGTAGAGCAATATAGTTATTGATTAAAATACCAACCTGTTCATAGTGTAAATATATAGGAAAATAACGCATTAATTTCTACCATGAAATCTTTTATTAGTCATCATCATCATCATCATTCCCATGACTGGGTGTGATCGAAGGGTCGCTGCGCAGCTGACCACCTGATCGGGTCCCTATGTATGTTTTGGTTGCTTCTCAATATCTGAATACCTTTGAATGATCTTCCTCGAGTCCACCCAGTGACATTGTCACCCCATTTTTTCCTTTGACTTCTTTTTGCCTAAGTTGGAATCTTAAAGGATGTCAGTGGAATGACGGTTGGCTATTATGACATTCCAACCACCTGAAGAAGGCCGGAGCGTATAACAGCCGAAACGTTGTAGTAAACATGGCGACAAAGATGAGGACAATAGTCCGAATAATGTAACTAATGTACATAATACCACATCTCAGAAACTTTTTCATTGTTCATCATGAATTTTTTTTCAAATATAAAGGAAATTAGCACATTAATTTCTACCATGAGGTCCCTCAGTATGTTTCGGTTGCTTTTCAATATCTGAGTATCTGAGGGTCTGAATGATCTTCCTCGAGTTCACCCAGTGACATTGCCACCCCATCTTTTTTCTTTTTGACTTCTTTTTGCCTAAGTTGGAATCTTAAAGGATGCCAGTGGAAAGACAGCTGGCTCTTATGACGTCGCCATACAGTTTCGACTTCCTATTTTCTGACAGTGGATATGAGATCTGCCAAAGTGCTTGCATCTTGTCTGATGTTGTCACGCACTTGGTTATTTGTGATGCGGTGTCTACGTGGGAGATGCCGAGCATGGTTCTGTAGCATTTAATTTTTAATACTTGATTTCTTCGCTGTAATTATTCTGTCAATGTCAAGATTCACAGGCATAGAGATAGATTAAGACGACGAATGCAAGCAGTTGATTTAAGGCAGATATTCTTGTCTTTCCAGATAGTTCTTAATTTTTTCAACAGTTGGGAATCTGTTCATCGTCATTATTACTCACATAATCGTGCGTACTTGTAGGGTCTCCCCTCAGCTCAGTACCAGACCTGCTCCATCTATATGCCTCGATTCGTGCCAATGTCTGATTCTCTCTAAATGACATTCCAATCCGCTGGATGACGTTGTCAGCCAATTTCATCCTCATTCTAAAGAATGTTACTGAAGACATGCTACAGCGTGTTTGGCAGGAGTTGGACGACCGAATTGACATGTGTCGTGTTACAGGTGATGCGCATAGTGAAATCGCTTTGTAAAATCGGTTATAAAATCTACATCCCTTTGAATAACTTGTTCGAATTTTGATATTTTGATAAATAAATATATTATTCAACATGAAGCCTATTTAATTTCGTTTGCATGATACCTGTTGTTGCTCGGATGTTAACAGTTTAATTATTTTAGCTTCTGTGTCCTCATCATCATCTCTCTCTCAAATATATATATATATATATATATATATATATATATATATATGCACACACAAACATATATATTATATATATTGTCTTATGACAGATATACTTATCTATTTGAAATTTATATATATATATATATATATATATATGAAAAAAAATAAAATTACTTAGACGTAAAGTATATATCTACGAAATATATACAAAAAACTTACATATATATTACTTATGTAAGTTGTATATAGACAAAATGTTTTGATATTAAAAGTATACTTATATATGTACAAAATGACACACACAAATTCATATATATATATATATATATATATATATATATATATATGAACTATACTGTGATTTAATGTTTCAGTCGTTTTATTTTATTTTGTTTATTAATGAATTATTTAATCTTTGTTTTAAATTTTATGAAAGTCTTATGGTCATGTATCCTGGCCTGAGGAAGAAGTATCTCAAGGGGATAAATGAAATATGCAGGACGTATGTTCATATTTTGGTAAGAAGCGATAAGTAATATGTACAGTATTTTTAGATTGAAATTGCGGCTGAAATTACTTCTTTTTATAACTAATGTATTAGATAAATTATGTAGGAGAAATAGATTTTAACTTCTGTAAGTTTCACCAATCTATTGTAAAGAACAGCTGTTACAGTTTAAAATATATATGGGGAGTTGTGAAAAAAATCTCGGTCAAAATCAATTTCCAAAATCTGGACTAAAGACGAAACACTAGAATTTATTTTGAAGTCACTTCTTCGTTGCGTAAAAACTTCTCAGTAACACTTTTTACAGGGTGAGGGAGAGAGGACGGTCGGTTTTTTTTTTTTTTTAAAAATTTACAACATCATTAATTTTAGCTTCCATAAAATTTTATTGACATCAATGTGTTCGTATTGAATTAGCATTTGACAAAATCCCTCATGTGTTTCATTGATGTATTTCTGAAAACTTCCTTGGAAGTTGGCCTCCACTCTTTCCAGCATTGCTTTGTCGATTTGGACGACTTCAACGCGAATAGCTTCCTTTAAATCATCCGATGTATGGGGCTTATGCAATAACGACACTTCTGTTGATTCCATTGATATGAAAATGAGCTTTATCATTCATTAATAAAATTGGGTTGTTATTCACCTCGAAAACTGCTTCCATCTGATGTGCATTGTCCCGTGGTCTCAACTATTGCCCAGGGACCAATTTCTAGGGGTGGAAATGCAGTTCTTCATGCAAAATACGGCTTACCGAACGATTATCGATGCCAAATTCAGTAGCCTGCATCCGAGCAGAGCGATTCGAACTGCGAAGCAAAGTCTGTCTGACGCGTTCCACATTTTCTGGGGTACCTACTGTTCATAGATTCCCCCACCGGTCTGTGATTCATTAGTGTACCTCGTGAACGAAGCGTATGAAACCAATGTACGATTGTGTTACGAGTGGGAACAGCCTGATTTCGGTGAATCTTGAATTGGTGACGAAACTCACGCTGAACTGCCGTGATAGACTCGTTATTCTTCACTGTTGTAGGCGACCACGCGGTGTTCTATCGTCGACAGAACCCTTGGCTTCAACAGAAAAGAAAAAAAGTGCTACGACACCACGGAGGACCAAATGGTACTTGTCGAATATATATCCTGCCCCACTGGGGCTGCGTAATAGCCATTTCAAAAACGTCTGTTCTCTCTGCCTCACCATATATATATATATATATATATATATATATATATATATATATATATATATATAGAGAGAGAGAGAGAGAGAGAGAGATACACAGAAATTGAGAGAAAGGATAAGATATATGAAAAATGTGAAATTATTTCTGAAAAAATAATGAAAACTGTTCTGCACGAAGATATTTAGAAAGATAGAAATGAAGAAAAAGAAAGAAAGAAAAAGTTGAGAAAGAAAGAAACAATGTGGAACGTAACAAACAAGATCTTTAAAAATATCAAAAGGGACAGACAAACAAATAGTGGAAAATGAAAGAAAGAAAGAAAGAAGTATAGGAAGGAAGGAAAAAGTTAGTAAGAAAGAAACAATGGGAAAAGAAAGAAACAGCGTAGAAGTTAAGAAGGATGTTGTTTGGAAAGAAAGAAAGAAAGAAAGAAAGAAAGAAACAAACGAACAAACAAGGAAATAAAGAAATAAAAGGGAAGGAAAAAGGGAAAAAGAAAGAAACAAAAAAGGAAAGAAAATAACAGCGTAGAAAGTAAGAAAAAAGTTGCCCAGAAAGAAAGAAAAGAAAAAAGAAAAAAGATATAGAAATAAAGAATTTGTCTCGAAAATAAGAAAGAAATAAAGAAAAAATGCAAGAAAGAAAACGAGTCGGTTGAAGGAATATGTTAATAAAAATGAAAGAAAAAGGAACAGAAGTTTAGAAATGAAGATACCATTTAGAAAGAAAGAAACAAAGCAATTAATGGTACAAAAAAGAAAGTGTTTACAAAGACAGAAAGACCGAAAACTTTGGCAACCCGTTGATTTGGAAAACAGAGAGCTAGATTAAGAAGGTCGGACTTAATATTTATGTCATCTCGACTTACGTAAGGGTTTTCGAAAATGTTTTTCTCAACATACGTCTCAGTGTAAAAATGCAAAACCAAACAGTGAGAAAAATTGAACTGAACCAAAGAATTCATGAGCTGAAAGTTTCTGTGTTAAAAGAAAACTTCCCTGTAACGAATATTATGTCTGATTGTATCTCGTAATAAAAGAAAAATGATACGATTTGCTTTTATTTTTCTATTTGTCTATATGTAAGGCCATTTGTTTTGTCGTGAAATGGAGAGCTACAATTCTTTTTTCTAACTCCTCCCTAACGACAACGGACCCGTAATTAAAAGACCATTTCTCAAAATATATGATCCTTCATCGGTGTAATTACAACAAACCATTCTTCTCGTTGTTTCCATGGAGTTTAGCCATTTCCTTTCCTCTTTCTCTTCATCTCGAACGTTGATTATTTAGGGTTCTCGTTACTCATCGTCTACGAGCCTGTTTCACCCCACTCTCTCTATCTCAACTTTCTCACGCTCTCAACCCCATCTCTCTTTCACCCCCTCTCTCTTTCACCCCAAGTTTTTCTCATTCTCAATCTTCTCTCTCACTCGATTTATTACTTTATGTTTCGTTCGTATTTGTCTTTTCTTTTGCCTTGATTTCATTCTTTTTGCTCCTTTGATTTGTATATTTGTTTACTTGTTTCATTTACGTTTCTTTTCATTATTACATTTTCCTTTTTTTTATTCAATTATTTCTTTTTTTTTCATTTATTTGGTTTCTTCCTTTATCTTGGGTTGTTTTTCTTTTAATTAGTTTACTTTTAAAGAAGATTTCTTTCTTTGATTGTTTTCTTTCTTATATTTTTTCTTTATTTCATTCTTTGTCTTTAATTGGTTTCTTTCCTTTTTCTTTCTTTCTTTATTTCTTTATTTCTTTATTTCTTTATTTATTTCTTTTCATTGGTTTCTGTCTATCTTTCCTTCTTTCTTTCTTTCTTTGGTTTCTTTCCGTTAATTGAGTTAATTTTTCTTTTAATTAATTTTCTTTCTTTCGTTAATTTGTTTTTTCGTATATTCTTTCTTTATTTCATTCTTTTTTCTTTCTTTTTTCTTCACTTTGTTTCTTTCTTTATTTCTTTTAATTAGATTAAATTTCTTTTCCATGGTTTTTTGTCTTTCCTTCTTTCTTTCTTTTGATTTATTTGGTTTCTTTTTCTTAATTGGGTTATTTTTTCTTTTTTCAGTTTCTTTTTTAATTATTTTTTCTTCTTTTCTTTCTTTAATTAGTTTCTTTCTTTTTTTTTTTCATTGGTTTCTTATCTTTTATAAAAAAAAACTGCGCTCTACACGGAGATATTTAGAAAGATAGAAATAAAGAAAACGAAAGAAAAATGTAAGAATGAAAGAATGAATGGTTTTGTTTCTTCCTTCTTTGTTGTTCTTTCTTTCTTTCTTTGATTATTCAGTTTATTTTTCTTTCGATGAATATTTCACACATGCGTACTTAGCTGCACTCATACAGATAACCAACATTTCTTAGTCGCAAATGCACACAATTGCAAATGAACACACACACATATATTTATATGTAAATACAAACTAAAATCATGTTCTCCTATAATCAAATGTTCTCTGTCTCACACACATATTTCAAGCAGTTACATTTAATTGTTTCTATAAACACCCGATCGCATTTTCATAAACACGAATATATGTGCACAAGCATACACAGAAACCTAATCTTGCGCATGCGTAGACAAGCTAGCTGTTATTATTTTCCTGTAATTTTCTTACGTTTGTGCCTATCTTTCGATGTTTATCTACTGCCATATCTCAGCGCTCTTTCACTATCTCATTATGCTGAGTACTCTCACTGTTACTATTACACCACTTCTTATCACTCCGAGAGCCTCGTTCTGGACTTCAATTCTTAGCAAAGTAGAGACGCGAGTCATTGGTGAGCGATACATTGTGGGTTACATATTTAAAACATTTTAAGACATTGTGGGTTACATTTCTTAAAAATATTCCTGTTATACATCTAGAGATTTTTGATAAAATTCAAAGAAGAATCTGCAATGTCATTGGTCCTGACCTGGCATCTCGGCTTCAGTCACTTTCCCACAGCCGTAACGTAGCTTCCCTGTGCCTTTTCTATAACTATTTTTATGGTAATTGTTCCGATGAAATTTCCTCTATAGTATCTAGACTTTATGCTCTTAGAGCAGTACTAGATTGGCGGCAAGGTCTCATCATTGTACAAGTGAAATGGCTAGATGCAACCGCAAGTTCTATGCTAATAGTTTCTCCTTTCGCACTTCCCTCTTGTAGAACTCTCTTCCGGCTTCTTGTTTGCGTGTCAACTTTGATAAACAAAAATTTAAATGTCAATCGTTATCTTCTGGTTTTTTAATTCTTGTTCTTTTTTTGTTTTCTCTCCTTAAACCTCTGATCCATGACCACCGCTTTACCGGTGCTAGAGAAAAATGACGTAATGCCCAGCCACCGGTTGAACGGTGGGTAAACACTTGTAGCTATTTTTCTATCTACAGTGAAACATTACAAATTATTTGCGAATTGTGACTCAGGAGCTGAGGTAGAAACGTTCAGGAACGTAGGGCTCAAAGGGTTAATAGTGTATTTGTTCCTTATATATATATATATATATATATATATATATATATATTCTCTAACACTCAGTAATCCCTATACGTCTTAATGGCTTTATTGCTTGGCGTGAACTGATTTAAACAAACGTTACTTGATATTTTTCCTTGCTTCTTTTACATTTGATATGACATATGGGTGTCAGATTCTCCAAACCTCCTTTCCTCATTATGTCTCTTTCTGATTCAAAGTGTGTGTGTGTTTGTTTTCAGTTTTATTAAGACTTCCTTGTTCCTCACATGTTCAGTCCATGGTATTTGTAGCATTCGTTGGTCAAACCAATTTCCATTCGCTTTATTCCTTTTCTTCAACTGTGAAAAAACTGTTCAGTATTCAATAGCATATCCAGTATTCAACAGCATATCAGTCAGCTTAGGCGATCTTTCGATACATGACTGACGAGGCAGAATTTTTCCCGCAGTAGGTTGCCATTTCTTTCTGCGGTAAACCAGTTACCATCCAAAGATATTTACCTATAGCTGGGGGGAGAAGAAGAGGATTCATACCTTTCCCAAGGGTGTTAGCACATAAGTGAATGTAATAGATTCGACTGATATTCGAACTAGGCTCTCCAATTCCTTAGTCCGAGCGGCTATCCATTATTCCACCTAGTTGTGCTAATTAATTATTATCTGTGTCAGTCTTGCTCTATTGCTGGAGTCTAGAATACGCCAATTGTATCGCTTACAGAGGAATAAAACCTGCCCTCAAATGAGGCCACCTCCAAGGGTGATGCTTACTGACATTGACATACATTCGACCAGTCTTTGTGCATAGACACGGGCCCAAATGTTTGTGTATAGAGTCTAATGTTTGTCCGTATTTATACGCAAACACTGGCCAGGTTTGTGCCCATGTCTATTGCGTATTGAGACGGACAAAAACCTGACCAATATTTGCGGATATAGTGATTTACTAAGCATACTTTAGATGTGGTACAAAACCGGAAATAGAGAGCACTCAGTGAGGATCGAACTCAGTACTCAGTACTGAGTTACCGAGCAACGCTTGCTAGCCATTAGCGACTTAGTAATCTGGCACAGGGTCGAAAGTACGAATCACTCAGTAAGGATCTATTCAGTCGTAAACGATCTAACAAAACTAGCTTGTTAACAATTTACACTACGTCGAAGTGTTCAAATTAGCACAGCTTATGTTTGCGGAAATATTTGGGCATAAACCCAACCAATGTTTGCGTATAGCTTCGGGCACAAACCTGGCCAATGTTTGCGTATAGCTTCGGCACAAGTCTGGCCAATGTTTGCGTATAGCTTCGGGCACAAACCTGGCCAATGTTTGCGTATAGCTTCGGGCACAAACCTGGCCAATGTTTGCGTATAGCTTGGGCACAAACCTGGCCAATGTTTGCGTATAGCTTCAGGCACAAACCTGGCCAATGTTTGCGTATAGCTTGGGCACAAACCTGGCCAATGTTTGCGTATAGCATTGGGGCACAAACCTGGCCAATGTTTGCGTATAACTTCAGGCACAAACCTGGCCAATGTTTTCGGGCACAAACCTGGCCAATGTTTGCGTATAGCTTCGGGCACAAACCTGGCCAATGTTTGCGTATAGCTTCGGGCACAAACCTGGCCAATGTTTGCGTATAGCTTCGGGCACAAACCTGGCCAATGTTTGCGTATAGCTTCGGCACAAATCCGACCGATATTTGCGCATACATTCAGGCAAAAGCATAACCAATGTTTTGGTATTGACTTGAGGCAAAAACCTTACCAATATTTGCATATGGGCTCGGACAAAACCTGGACCAATGTTTAGTGTTTGTTGAAAAATTCTCGGCCCAACCAGGAAAGGGATTATATAAATATTCTTATGTTCGGTCATATACTGGGAGGTGGGCCGTGCATAGTTTTAGAATTTTTATCTTGTATCTTCTTATTCCAGCACCGTGTTGGGTATCTTCTGATTGTTAACATAAGTCCTGAAGAATAGTTCCACTCTCAAAGAGGATACCTGCTTTGAATGTCTATTAGGAGCCAAGTTTACTCCAGATACATACGAACCAATTGCCAAAGATGCTGGAAAAGTGGTCGGCTCCCTATCGCTTCAGGAAGTATTCTGTCTCCTCCTGCCATTTTTTTTTATCTTGTCGTAGCCTGTCAGAACGCTAATTCTTTAAGGCAAACGGAAATGCTCACTTCAACATCCACAGCTCATATGACAAAAACAGAACTTAATTTCGTCCGGCTACGCGCACCCACTTCCGAAATACGTAAAAACATCTTTTCTGACCAATAAGAAAAAAGCCCCATTCTTCTTAATCAAATTTCTGAGACACTGACTACAAAGAAAACGCCGATTTTATCGACGGATGTAGATCGGACCAGGCTGGCATTAGCAATGGACCACCACTGCAGGTAAAGTTAACAAGGCAATAGCAGCGACT